CCTACATCCCTTTGCATATTTAGTAGAGCTTCATATAAAAAATAAAAAAATTTAACAAATCGGATGAACAATATCTATCGGATTTTCACAAATTTTGTCATACTTGTTTCTAGACTCAATTTTATCGTTAGTGCCAAATTCCATCCAATTTGGGCTAATATGACAATATATATGGGAGCAATAGCTATATCTGAACCGATTTCGATCAAATTTGGTGTATTTATTTCCAAGCTTAATTTGGTCGTATATGCAAAATTCCATACTATTTTGGCTGATATTACACGTTTGGTGCACAAAAAAAGGCAAATCTGACGAAGGTATATATGGAAGCTATATCTAAATTTTGACCGATCATCTCCAGTTTCAATAAGATTCGTCCATGGGTCAAACAAATTACTTGTGCAGTATTTCATCTAAATCAGGCAATAAATGCGACCCTTTATTTTTTTACAAAAATACATGGACGAACTGAAATGAATAAATTGACTAAGAATGTGATTCTATGCAGATCATCAAAACTAACTATGGGTCTATCTCGTTTCCTTTTGCCTGTAACGAACAAATACACAAAGACATAATACCCTGACCACCTTGTGGTGAAGGGTATAAAAATAAGTACTTACATGCCCTCGGAGAAATAATGACTTAGTATGTTGATTTGTAGGTAATTACGATTGCCAAAAATTGAGAGCAATACTCTCTTTCTTTCAAGGATTTGAGAATATTCGTGGATTTTAGGGGCAAACTAAAGAATGTTTCGACAAAACTCGAAGATTTTAAGGGTTAAATTTGGGAAACGATAATCATTGATTGTTAAAAGGGTATATTTTAGCACCGAAGTACACCCTAAAAAAATTACCAATTCGGATGGGCCAGGGCGGCCCCCTGCCTGGCCGCGTCTATGAGTTTTAGTGACCAAATTTTCAGGTGCAACTTCGAGCTTTTTGCTTTTTCAAAAAATATTTTACTGCGAAGAAAAATAAAGGATAATCCGATTTTCCTCCAACTTTGCAAATTCTAATATTTGCATCAGTGCTATGTTAGGTGCATAAATCGACAATACCGGTCCTCTCCACTAAGTACCTCCCCCACAAAGGGTCGAAATTTTTAATAATTACAACTCTTATAAAATGTTATATAAGAGGCCGATTGCCTTCAAATTACACACATCACAATATTTTTATTAACCCAAGGTGGTGTGAAGATGAAATATATCGGTCCACTCCTTCTGGTACCTCCCCCTCAAAAGGTCGAAATTAAAAAAAAATGTTTTTTTTTTTGTACAGAAAGAGAAACGTTGATCCGATTTTGCTCCAACTTTGCAAATCGTAATATTTTTATCAGTGATACGCCAGGTAAAATGGACAATATCGGTCCACTGCATCAAGTACCTCTCCCACAAAGAGTCAACATTTTGAATAATTACAACTCTTATAAAATTTGATTTAAGAGTCCGATTGTCTTAAATTTTCACACATCGCAATAATTTTATTAACCCAAGGTCTGGTGTGAAGATTTAAGAGTCCGATTGTCTTAAATTTTCACACATCGCAATAATTTTATTAACCCAAGGTCTGGTGTGAAGATGGGATACATCGGTCCACTCATTCTGATACCTCACCCACAAAAGTTCAAAATTTTCAAAAATAAAAAAAAAAAAAACAAAAAAGAAACATTTTCTGCACAGAAAGATAAGCAATAATCCGATTTTGCTCTAACTTTGTAAATCCTAATATTTGCGTCAGGTCTGGTGTAAAAATGAATAATATCGATCCACTCCATCAAGTCCTTCTGGTACCTCTCCCACAAAGGGTCAAATTTTTGAATAACCAAAAGTTTTATAAAATCAGAAATAAGCATCATGTTCTCTTTATATTTCACACATCCCATTATTTTCACTAACATTCAAGATCTGTTGTGAAGATGGGATATATCGGTCCACTTCTTCTGGTACCTCCCCCTCAAAGAAAGCGAAATAAGCATTAAACTCTCCTCAAATTTCACAAATACAAACATTTTTGGTAATACAATATATGTTGTGCAGATGATATACATCTGTGAACCCCTTTTGGTACCTCATTTACAAAGGGTCAACATTTTCAATATTTTTATCTGTCATAATTTGCGAAACAAGTCAGCGATTCTTTACAACTTGCTATATCTAAATATATCTCTCTCTTTGCCAGAATCCTGAGGCGAATATGGAATTTATGATTTTCCATAAATTGGATATAAATGTTCGATTATCTGGGAATTTTGCCCATACCAATAATTTTATCTGTATTAGATGAAGCATGAAAATGGAATGCTTCAATCGACTATATCTGGTAGAACGTTAACATTTTCTAAAAATTATCATATATGTCATGTATAATGAAGGAAGTTACCAATGTAGTCCAAACCTGGCACGTCGCAATATTTATTTCATATTAATTTAGGTCCGATACAAAATGGTCAATATTGGCCCATTCTTTCGGAACCTACTCCATAGAAGGTCAACAATTTGAATAACCATACCAGAAGTCAAAATATATTTAAAACAAGTAAGCAAAGGCTACAGTCGAGCGGTGCCGACCGTTGAATACCCTACAACACTATAATAAACGATACAGTTTATATAGGCGAGATACTCGAAAGAATTCCACAAGATATTGTGACAAATAATAAAAGAAAACCATCAGGTTTCGTTCTCTAATTTTCCAATAATAGCAACTTAAACTAATTTGCTCATTTCCAATTTATTGGTAGATGTTACACGTAAATGGTCTTCCTAGATCTGGAACCAATATTTCCCAAAGACCTATAATCTCTCAGAAGTGGCAAAAGATTAACATTTATTATTGGTTTTTGACTGAAACGCATCTATATGAGATTCTTCATCGAAATCAGCGTTAACGAAATAGTCAGAAGTGTGTCCTTCCTGTATTTGTGAATTCTCCAAAAAGTCACCGGAATGGACATTTTCGTATTTTGTCTACAAAAGTTGGCAAACTATTTCACACATTGAATATTTTTGGATGGCCATCCAAAACTGCTTGGCTTTTGCAATGTCCGGTAACCCCCATTCAAATGTGCGTGAGGATCGGACGATAATTACGACCTGCAGACAATTTTGCACTTTTTGGTCCATTTCAACCCCTAAATATATGGCGATCATCTCCAAAAAGAGTAGGCTTCTATTCTGACCCTCATCTTATCCCCATGCAAAATTTCGTATGGATCGGGAAATAAATTCGGTCCGTATATGATATCCTGAAATCCTAACTACTTAGTTTTGTTAGCTGTAGAAACATTACCAAATGTTTAATTCAAAATGAAAATATGCCAAAAATATGACAAAATTGAAAAAATATGAGAAAATGTTAGAAAATCAATATTTTCATCTTTAGAGAGATATTTTTATGCGATTTTTTTAGACGTTTTTTCTTTCCTGCCAAGAGGCCATTCTGAATTAATGAGAACTGTGGAAATCAGTTCAGTCGTTCTCGACATATAAGAGATTTTTGAAGCATATCTTCTTTGATAAACATATATATCGCACATATTTTGCTATATATCCGTTTTGTTGGATGTTAACATCAATGTAACGGTCAGAAGTAACCTTGTCATGGCTTTGTGATTTCGCCGGGATTTAAAATATTCGCGGTTTAATGAAAAATTTTTAATTTTTCAACACAAAAGATATGGTATATATATTTTACCCGCTAAATATTATCCGATGACCACCCAAATTAGTAGGCTTCTTCCCCGCCCTAAACTCGAGCTACATGCGAAAATCGTCGATTGGTCTATAATTGCAACCTGTATAGCTACTGCAAAATCCGACATTTTTTCAGTATTTGGTCTATTTCAACCCTTAACATTTGGCAATCATCTCCAAAAGAAATAGGCTTCTGTTCTGACCCTAACCCCACCTTCGTGCAAAATTTCGTAAGGATCGGGCAATAATTGCGACCTGTAGCGTGATTACAAATTAACATGGACAGACGGACGGACGAACATACATAGCTAAATCGACTCAGCTCGGCGAGCTAGGAAGATCCATATAAACTTTCCTATATGGGAAACCAATATTTCGAGGTGTTACATAAATTCTGGCCCAATCAAACTTATAATACCCCCAACACATAGTGTTGTAGGGTATAAAAACGAACATTTTCTGAGGTTATACAACTGTCAGGTAAACCGACTGATACCTTTTAACCCTCCACCATAGCATGGAGGGTATATTAAGTGTGTCATTCCGTTTGTAACACCTTGAAATATACGTTTTAGACTTCACAAAGTATATATATTCTTGATCAACATAAAATTCTATGTCGATTTCGCTATGTCCGTCCCTAGAAATAACTCTAGCTTCAGAACGAAATGAAGTAGGTTGATAACATTTTATTCAAATGTATATTATGTCTGCAGGACTTTTGGTATAGAAAATGGGCCAGGTAGGTGCACGTTTTGGTATAGCCCCCATATAACGGTACCTCCCGATATTCGATATTTTCATAATTTTAACAACATTATTCACTGGAATTGTATCAAATTTGGTATTGGAAATTCGTAATGAGTACTACAATCTGTGAAAGAAAATTGTCTGTGCAGGTCCACGTCTAGATATAGCCCCCATATTACGGTACCTCCCGATATTGGGTATTTAGATGATTTTAGCGACATTAATCACCGGAATTGTTTTAAATTTGGTATTGGAAATTCGTAATGGATACTACAGTCTATGACAAAAAATTGTCTGTGCAGATCCACGTCTTCATATAGCCCCCATGGAACGGTACCTCCCTATATTCGGTATTTTGATGATTTTAGCTACATTATTCACCGAATTTTTTTTATTCAAGTTTCGCATTTGAATATTGTAATGACAAAAGTTTTTTTTTTTTGTTAAATCTTCCATTAAAAGAAAATACCTTCGGAAGGTATCATCCCCGTATGATGTTCTTTCATAGCTCTTTGTATGTCTTATCAACCATATCATCTAATCAACTTACCCCCACATTCCCTTGTACATTCCACCGGTTTATAATTCAAATCTTGTGGATCACAGGCCGTCGAACAATTTACACAGGCAACTTCAAAGTGAGAGCAAAATTGTTCCACTGGATTGCATACTTGGCCGTGGCAGTCGGTGCCAGTTGCCGCTGAGTCGGCCGTCATTGCTAGAGCGTCAACGGTTTTGTGTAGAGCTGCGGGAAGGGTTAAAATTGTGGCGGCAGTTGTTCTCAAGGCGCTAAAGTTGAACATTTTCTTTGTATGGCGTTTGATTTTCGTTTTTTTTTTTTTTCTTTTTCAAAAAATTGCAGTCGTTACAAAAAAGGTTTGGAACGTGATTTAATTGAAAAATTCAGTTTTTGTTGTCATTCACACCAACGTGGAGAATATCTGAGTGGTGAAGTAGAATTTTTATTTTTTATTAAATTGGAAAAATTGTTGCTATTTGTTTGTGCGTTTTTTTTAAATAAATTTCTTTAGTTTTTTTTCATTTGTTGTTAACTTCTTTGATTGTTCAACTGTTTTAGGCCATGAGAAGTTGTTGATGACTCATCTGGTATCTCTACCAATTGACGACGTTGGCTCTCAAAAGATCCCGTATTGCTGTTGTTGCTGTTGCTTTAACTCTTCTTTGCGTGTTGTTGTTGTTGTCGAAGATTGTTTTGTTGGCCAAGACGCCAGTCGTCGTCAGTTCATAACATTTGTGGCTAATTTTTCTGGTTATTATTGGAATGGGTTGGTCGGTTCCGTGGTTGATTGGTAGCTGCTTTGTGCCTCAGAAACAGGTTTTCACTGGGTTGATGTTTCTCCTTTTTGTTTTGTTTTGCGCATTTAAGCCTTTACAAATTTTGTAAAATTAATTTTCTACTTTTTCTACATTAATTATTATTTTTATTGTTATTTCGAACGCAAAAAAAAACACTCTCATTCACACTGCAACCACAAAAAAATCAGTTATTTATTTTTAATTTGAGCTTTTTTCGAAGCAAGCCGTTTTGTGTGCGTTTTGTTTGTACCTATTTCTTTTAATAGACCATCACCTCAGTCAACGTTAACGGCTGTTCAAATAACCCAACCGAACTCTCGATATTCACAACTCATCCGCCTAACAAGCACTTAAACACTAAACTAAATTCACCCATTGCTCTGTGTGCATCTCTCCAGGCCAGAACAGCGGCCGTCACCAAGTCACTGCGTAAGAGCGTTCATAGCGAATGTACGAACCACCGACCGACTGACCGGTTCCACTGAAGTAAATAACCGCTGATATTCCCACCACAATTGTGAGCGAAGTGAGAGAGAGAAAATATCTTTTTTGAGTCATAGCTATGTTCTCTCCTTATTACCTGTTTCAGGTTGAGTGGTTGCTTGGAAAGGTTCAGGTGAGTTGTATGGCTTGGTGAGAGTTAGTAGTAAGCACGAATAAGGCTTTAACCCACTAAGGGGACTTCTGTGTGTAGACCCCCTGTAAATGGTAATGAATACATCTGCCAATCTATCTATAAAAGACCATTAATGGATATGAAGTCTATAGATGGCCCTGTTTTGATGGAAATCGTTTTGATACTTCTTTCAAAAGGTATACTATCTAAAAATGACCTGCAGGAAACTTTTATCAGTTGAAGACTTGCAAAATTTCGTTTTATTACTTTCTACCATAAATAGTATGGAGGGTATATTAAGTTCGTCATTCCGTTTGTGACTCATAGAAATAATTATTTAATACCTAACAAAGTACAAGGTGAGATGAAAAAACTGCAACCAACTTCAGACTGCTGTTATTTCTAAGCCACGCCCGACAGCTGTTGAAATTATTCCAGTGACAGTTCATTGCATTGTTTACAAGCATTTTAGTGCGATTTTTGCAGATAAAAAGTTATTCGTGATGGAATTCAAGCGTGATACTGTGATTTCTTTATATTTGGCTGGAAAACCACAAGTGGCTATCGTTAGAGCACTCCAGTATTTAAATGTGAATAAATCTTTTGTGTCTCGTACCATCGCTCGTTACCGTGATAATAGTTCGAAAAGTAAAGAAGCGATTTGATCGAAAACCGCGTCGCATTGGCCGGAAAATGGCTCGTGAGCTGAACATATCGCAATATTCCATTCGGTAAATATTAAAAAATGAGCTCGGGCTAAAGCCATTGAAATTCCAAAAAGTGCGAAAGAGGTCTAGTGAAAATGTCCACCTTCGGTTGGCCACCAGAACTCAAGCGCCGGCCATGGTGATGGTGTAGTCCGCCATAACAGCAGACCGTGGCATCAGAATAAATGCCGAATATTATCGTGAAAATATTCTGGAGGGTGTATGGACACGCAAGCATTTTTGCCGCAGACCTTGGACATTTCGACAGGACTCAGCACGCGCCACCCAATAATGGTTACAAAATGAGATTCTTCTTTCTTTCAGCGCACAATTGCCACCAAAATCTCCAGATACCAATGCGTTGGACTATTGTGTCTAGAGTATTTTGGAAAGCAAGGTTGGCACTAAAAAATACCAAAGTTTCGATCACCTCATGCAAGCGCTTCGCCGGGAATGGGCCAAAATACCGCAGAGCAACATTTTGGCAGAGTGTGACGGTTACATTGGCCGGTTGAACGCCTTAATTCGTGCCAAAGGTGACCAGTTCGAACAAATTTAAACTTATTCTAAAATTTGATTCTATTTCCGACATTTTTTCCTTTCATTAAAAAAAAATTAAAAAAAAGTGAAAATTATGGCGTTTGACTTTGTTGCAGTTTTTTATCTCATCCTGTAGCCTGCATTCCCCGTTTTACTTTTACATTTAACGGACCTTCATATATTTGGTATTTTACAAATTTATATTTATAGTTCGTAATGGGTTCTATCTTCCGTAGCTGAACATTGTATATGTAGGTCCACGTTTTTCTACAGCGCCCATATTACGATATCTCCCGGTATTCGGTATTTTAATGATTTTAGCGATATCAATCACCGGAATTTTTTTAATTTTCCTATTTCAAATTCCTGATGGGTGCTACAGCCTGAGACAAAAAATTGACTATGCAGGTCCACGTCTTCGAATAGCCCCCTTATAACGGTAACTTTCAGTATTCGGTATTTTGCCGACATTATTCATCGAAATTGTTTAATTTGTTTAATGATTATTTATGATTTGTTGTAATGATTCTAGTTCTATAAGTATATAATTCCGCTCATAAACAGTTATGCCTTTCGAAACCATTTTAGTGGGTGGTTTTAACCGATTAAAATAATAGACTTTCAAGCTCCTCAGCATAAGATGGCACCATGTCTTTCAATATATCACGATACATAAAACGATCCAGAATTCTGTCAATTTTATTTATCAGTCCAATTCCTTGTCCCAAGCCATTATGCTGCCGCCTCCATGTTTTACAGTGCCTTTGCAATATTTAGGATTTAAACGTTAGAAATTTAGTCTACGTATATGTTTATGCCATTCTGAACTCTTTAAATTGAACTTAGATTCATCGGCAATCAGCACAATCCTCCATTTTTGAACACTCAAGTTGAGATGAGCCTAGGCGAATTTAAATCTGAATTTTTTTGGCTGGACTTCGACTGAATAACTTGTCCTTTAGTACTTTTCTGTGAATCGTTCTTTATCTAATTGTTCAATGTAAGCAATTTTAAATCTGACTATAACATGCTGTAGAATGATCACTACTACTGCTTCAAGAAGCTTCCCACAAAAGGTAACATTTTCAATAAGAACTCTCGTAATACTTGAGATTACTGTCGATTTATTTTCAAACATTGCACCTTTTATTATTTTGTGGTGTGGAGTGTACAAATCAGATATATCGGTCCACTCTTTCTGCTACCTCCCCCAAACCTCAAGAATAAATATAAATAAATAGAAACATCAACATCTCATTTTGAGAGAAGAGAGGGCACTCGATCTTAATATTTCGATAAAACTTAGGTCAGGTGAAAAATTGGACTCCACTTATTCATGTACTACCCCATAAAAGATCTATATTTTTAAAGAAAGCCAAAAAGAGGATAGGAGTTCGTCCAAACTTAGTACATCTTAATATTTTAATTAGCCTTAGATCATTTATAGGTTGATGGTTGACAAAGCGACATCTACATTTTGTACTGTAGACTATGATATACTGGTGTATGTCTGTAATACTCCCCCCAATAAAACTTGGCATCACCTAAAATGTGTTTCAAAACGTTATTTATATGGACAATTTTTTGCTATCTTGTTAGGTTAGCAGCATTTTAAGCAAAATCAAGTCAAGCCAGATTTAAGACGGGCAACAGACAGAGTAATAAGTAATATAATATATATAATATAAGAGTAATAACAAGTTAGAAATGATCAGCCGATTTTGCGTTACGATTATTTAAATGTTGTTGTTGGGTTGGTACCCAAGGAATGTGCCAATATTTCCCAAATATTTTTGAATATTACAACATGCCAGATTTGGACTATATCAAGTACTTCCTGCATTTGAAATATTTGATAATTTTTGTAAAATGCTGAAATATTCTTGATGTTGCAGATATAGTGGACCGATGTATTAATTTCCTCTAATACTGATAAAAGTATTGAGATGTACAAAATTTAAAGAAATAATCGCCGACTGCTTTCGCAAGTTATGACAGATATAAGTATTAAAAATTGTAACCCTTAGTGGGCAAGGTACCAGTAGGGGTTGCCAGATATATATCATCCTCACAATAGATCTTGTGTCAGCAAATAAATTTGGATGTCGAAAATTGGAAGAGAGTTGGATGCTTATTTCACGTTCTTTGAGCGTTTTCTTTTTCAAAAATCATGAACCCTATGTGGGAAGGTAGAACGATATATCCTATTTTCACACCAGACCTTGGGTTCATAAAAATATTGTGATGTGTGTAATTTAAAGAGAACCGGATGCATTTCGAATTTTATAATCGTTTTTTTTTTTTTATTCAAAACTTTGACCCTCTGTGGGGGAGGTATCAAAAGAAATGGTCCGATCTGTACCATCTTATTAACAAGTCCTGCGTTTATGGTAATATTGAGATGTGCCAAGTCTGAATGAAGTCGGATGTTAATATCGTGCTTCTTGAATATTTAAAATACCCTTTGTGGGGGAGATACCAGAAGCAGTGGACCGATATATCCCAACTTCACACCAGATCTTGGGTTAATAAAAATACTGTGATGTGTGTAATTTGAAGACAATCGGACACCAGCATCACATTTTATAAGAGTTATAATTATTCAAAATTTTGACCCTTTGTAGGGGAGGTACTTGATGAAGTGGACCGATATTGTCCATTTTTCGCACCTGACCTAACACTGACGCGAATATTATTATTTGTAACGTTGGAGCAAAATCGGTGTATCCTTTCTCTTTCTGTGCAGTAAATTATTTTCTTTGAAATATTTGACATTTTGTGGGGGAGATACAAGATGGAGTGGACCGATATTTTTCATCCAGAGCACGACCTAAATTTGACAATAATATTACATTGCTAGATCGACTCTAAATGTCCTTAAAAGTATATGATCCAAAGAGGCCTAGGGTCTAAAACCATTATTTCGATGAGTCACGTTTTCGATTTTGCGGGAAGGTACCAGAAGGAGTGGACCGATATTGGCCATCTCTGAACACAATCTAAGTTTGACAATAATATCACATCGCTAGGTCGATTCCAAATGTCCTGAAACGGACATGGCCCAAAGAGACCTAGCGTCTAAACCCATTATTTCAATGAGTCACGTTTTGGCCTTATCAAAAGATATATACCCTCTTTAACCCTATCTAAAGGGGATAAATATTAGGTTTTGCCAAGTTTGAACAAAATCTGTTGCGGCTTTCTCTTTGTATGAGGTAAATTATTTCATTTACTTGTTTTTTTTTTTTTTTTTTTTTTTTTTTTTGAAAATTTTGACTTTTTGTGGGCGAGGTACCAAAAGGAGTTAAGCGATGTTGTCCATCTCCGAATTCGATCTAAGTTTGACAATAATATTACGATGCATTAAGTTTGGACCAAATCGGATACTCCCTTCGAGAGTTATTGTGCGCACTAGCCAGACAGACGGACCCCCTAGATCGACTCCAAGTGTCCTGAAATGGATTTGATCGAAACAGTGTATTAATATTTCTAAAACAGTTGTTGCAGGATTATTTCATAAATAAACATGTTATAATCGTTTGACCTTCGATTTTTCAAAAAAAAAAAAACTGTCTTATACGCAAATAAATGCTGTTTTTTGGCAATCCCAGTATTACAACAGTTTTTTTTAATTCTACTATTTAAAACTGGTTTATACTCATATTGGACTAAACAATTATGTTTCCAATTATGGACTTTCACAAAATTTAAATCTCAATATCTATGCAATTAAGATTTTCTCCCCTAGCAATGGCTTGGCCCTCGTATTTATGAAAAAAAGGTAATTTTCTTATTTGTATGCCAAGATTTAAAATATATTACATATTGAATAAATTAGCTATCGAAAATCCTATTGGTAATTTTTCTAGGGAAAAGTCATGGAAATTTCACCTAATTAATGTTACAAACGCTTGTAGCCACAAACATTTACCTGAAGTTGAAGAGGATCGGCATAATTGCGTGAATTGTGGGTTGTGGGGATTTCCCTACACAATTTATAACAAAATCCCAATAAATTTAATATGGAAATCCCTGGAAACAGGCAACGCATTTCTGGTTTTGTTAGGTTTTGTTGTCACTGTTTATATTCCTCTCTCTCTGACTCTTAGGGAGAGAAAAATGAGATAAATTTGCATCAAATATAGATAATAATGTCAATTTAGCGTTTTTACAGCAGAGGGCCTCAATTTAAATGGAAAAATATAATGTAATGTTTTTCATTTCTTTCTGTAAATTCGAATTACTATTATTATTAATAAATATGTCATTTAAAAGATATTTTATTTTTGCTCTTTGCTGAAAGATAGGATTTATAAGGTTAGACCGAAAATAAATACCACATTAACGACCAGGCGCTAAAAACTAAATTGAATTTTTCATTATAGACAATTATTTCAACAGGAATAGTGATAATGTAAACTTAAGCCAATTCCTTTATTTGATGTCCCATGAATCTCAAAAATTTTCAAAGGCCAATATTAATTAGAGCAATAGATATACCAGACCGAGTTTCACCCAATGGAAAAATTCGGTTGAATATAAAAAAATCTAAACAATTTGGGCTGAAATTACATATATGGTGGACAATAACCGTAAATACGGATGAAGATGTATGACGAAGGTATGTAAAAATCTGAATCGATCTCGATAAAATTTGGCAGAGGAATTTTCGAGTTGTATCTTATTTCCGGTATCAAATATCATTGTTGTAAAGTGCATATTACGCATGTTAGGGCCTTAAAAGCCCAAACAGGATGAAACATATACAGGGCGAGAAAAAAAACACTGCAACAAATTCAAACGCCATAATTTTTATTTATTTTTTTTTAATTTTATTAAACAAAATCAAAATATGTCGGAAATTGCTTCAAATTTTAGAATAAGTTTAGATTTGTTTGATTTGGTCACCTTTGACACGAATTAGGGCCTTCAAACGGCCAATGAAACCATCACACGCTCCCCGAATGATTCTCTGCGGTATTCTGGTCCATTCCCGGCGAAGCGCTTGCTTGAGGTGATCGAAACTTTCATATTTTTTAGTTCCAACCGTGCTTTCTAAAATACTCCAGACACCATAATCCAACGGATGGTATCCGGAGATTTTGGTTGCCATCGTGCCCTGGAAATGAAGCGAGGAACCTCATTTTGCAATCATTCTTGGGTGGCTCTTGCTGAATGCAATAGCGCTGAGTCCTGTTGGAATGTACAAGGTCTGCGGCCAAAATGTTTTGCGTCCCCAAAACATTAATATACCCTCCAGAATATTTTTGCGATTATATTCGGCATTTATTCTGATACCACGGTCGATTAAAACGAGCGGAGAGCGACCATCAGTTCTTATGGCGGCCTACACCATCACCATGGCCGGCGTTTGATTTCTGGTGGCCAACCGAAGGCCCACATTTGTTTGTTTACAAACTGCTGGACAACGAATATTTTCTCATCGGAGAAAACCACATTCGGTAGTTAACCACTTTCGGCCAAGCGAAGCCACTCTTTAACTCGTTTGAGTCTATTTTCTTTCTGTTGCGGTGTAAGTTCTTGCACTTTTGGGATTTCAATGACTTTACTCCAAGCTCATTTTTCAATATTTGCCGAACTAAATATTGCGATATGTTCAGCTCACGAGCCATTTTTCGGCACCTGCGACGCGATTTTCGATCAAGTCGCTTCTTTACTTTTCGAACCATTTCTGCTGTAGTTTCTGTTTTCTTCCACTCCACTTCCTTCGTCGGGCTACGCTATCAGTATCACGGTAACGCGCGATGGTACGAGACACAAAAGATTTATTTACATTTAAATGCTGGAGTCTCTAACGATAGTCACTTGTGATTTTCCAGCCACATATAAAGAAATCACACTATCACGCTTGAATTCCATCACGAATAACTTTTTTCTGGAAAATTCTCACCAAAAAGCTTTAGTGCGCTTGTAAACAATATAATGAACTGTCACTGGAATAATTTTAACAGCTGTCGGACGAATGGCTTGGAATTACAGCAGGTTGTAGTTGGTTGTAGTTTTTTCATCTCGACCTGTACAAATAAAATTAGGTATAGAAAAACGCAACACAACTGTCAATCTTTCTTTACAGAGATATTCCCGGAAAAAATATTTTTTTGCGATTTTTCCTCCGCCAAATTGACAACACTAACATTGAGATTCATGTTTACAGAATAAAATGTATCTGAGAGATACATTTGTGTATGGTATCCGCTAGCTCTCTCCCTCTCTCTTTTACACGCATACCAACACACCCATTCGTGTTGGTAGAAATAAGAAAACATGCATACACAGATACTTTTCTTGTTGCAGCGGCAAATTTCGGTCTTAGCTCAAATGCCGATTTTGTTTTCAATGAGCAGCGAAAGCATGCGAACGTGAGCGGAGAAATAAAATTTCAATTAGACGAGCAGTAATAACGGAACGGTACGGTGTTACGATAATGCGTTTTGCGTTTTTCTTGTTACGGGACGGCACAAATTGAAATGAAATATTGAAAAGAATAAGAAAAGAAAAATTGTTTTCAATAAGAAAGTGTTGGTAGAATTTTCGATGGAAATTTGAAAAAGAAAAAAGTAAAAAGTGAAAATTTTTGGCAGAAAATTAAGTGTTAGAATATATTAATAAGTGATAATTTGTGTATTGATTTTCCTTTAAAGTGCAAAGAAGAAATTTTAAAAATTGAAACAAAATTAACTAAGGGATGGAAGTGAAAATCACCGGAACGCAGCATAATTTTTTGTATACGCTTGATAAATGAAGCATAAAAGGCCAGCAGCCAGCCAGCCAGCCTGTATGGAATACCCAATCAATATCTCATCCGTAGACGGCCATAATTGTTCATGAGCAAACCCACAAGAACACAAAAAAACAGTAGCAGCAAAAATTTCGAAAGGCCATTTGGAACTGCCGAACCACCAATTCGCTGAGGATTTTAGAACAAATGTTTGCATGTTTTTACAACAAGAGGGCATGAAATTACAATTATAAGCCCGGCACTTCAAGTGTAGACTTCCCCTTTTTTAAGCGACACAAAATAATTTAGTTCTCCTGCTGCAGCTGAAAAATGTTGATGAAATACCTTTGACAACTTTGAGAAAAAAAGATACACGACAAACGACATTCATCAGGGCAGCGGAATAGCTGATACATATTTTTCTTTGGGCCCGACCCCTACCTCATTTATCCTTCTTGCCCAACCGGCCTGTTAACCAAACAACCCAACCAGCCAGCCAGCCAACCTAACCAACTACATTCACAACATTACACATTCTCACAGATACAGATAATTGAGCTCTCCGGCTTAGCCACATACAAAAGTTGTACTGGCATCCGAACCAACCGACCACAAACCATAATTGAGAAGAAAAAAAAGGTTCAAGGAACAAACATACAACAATTTTGGTCAAAGATTACGGTACATTTTTTACCTCAACAAGTATTGTTTTCAAAAGTAAATCTCAAAAAAAAATCTACCGCTCCCCGAAAACTAAACAAGAGAATCAAAACAGAACCCAGAAAAAAGAACCACAACAAAAGATATTCGATATTTGATTTTGTCAGCAAAAATCAAAACAAACAACATAAATACAGGTTTGGCGAGCACTAAGAGCGACAACAACACAAATCTCAGAGTGCCAAATTTCGAGAGCAACCAAAAAGAAAACCACGACCTCTACGAGACAGCACCACTAGTTTGATGACAAACTCCGCAGGTTATCAGCGTCATTCTTAAAATCAACAACAACACCAACACCAGAACACCGAATTCCATCAGCGAACGAGACCTACGACGACAGCTGCATTTTCGTTTTTTGTCGTCCTTGAGTCACATACCGCACTCTATCTCTCACCCTAAGTGATACGTCCGTCCGGCTCTAAGACCTCAACATCAACAGCCTGATTCTTGTGAATTTGCAACAAACAAAACGATCAACGAGCAGAGCTGTTCGTACTTGAACAACAGCAACAACAAATAACTCTTTTTATTGTCTTAATCGGGTTTTTGTTCACAACGCTTATGTTGTTGTTTTTTTATTACGCTGCACATTTTTGAACCTGTTTTAATCTCCCCGTGTGTGTAAGCGCCCATAGTGCAGTCGTTCTCCGTACCCGCTGAAAGGTGACTGCTTTTGTTTTGTTTTTCTTGTCCAGTGGTGTTCGTCCAGTGCCGTTTCTGTTTCTATGAGTGCAAAAATGAATAATTTTCCAGCGGCGACAACAACAACTGAAACGCTACCAAAGAGTGGCCATGTCAATGAAGGTAAGTCACCGTTTTGTTTTATATTATAGTTTATCTTTCTCCTAAGTGTAATTACGGTGGGACCTCCATCAGCTGGAAAAGGTTTAAAGACGGGTACTCCACTAGGGCCGAGTTGTCATCTTTTTTGGACTGAACTCTAGCTTAGTAAAATCACTCGGATTTCTCAGAAATTGTTTCCAGAGGTAGATATTTGCATCCCTGATTCCGGGAAAGTATTTTTTTTTTTTTTTTTTTTTTTTTTTTTTTTTTTTGGGGACGGACACAAATACCCGGACTCGGTCAACGCGAAATAATGTCTTTTATACTCGTCCCGGTTCAAGGACCCATATCTCCGGATTCAAGAAAGATAATAATACATATTGTAGTATTTTGGAAAGGCTATAGTTTCGAATATAAATTAGCATGCATTTTATGGACTCCAAAAATTGGACTTTTTTGACTTTTGGTGGATTTTTTAAAAAATCCGGGTCCAAAAAAATCAATAATTTTGATACAACTTCGGAACCGTTTTATATAACCAACCGTGTGACCAGTTGTTGTATAGACATTGATATGATTGTCCATATCGGCTCAGGAGGTCCAGGACTTTGGTCAAATGTTCGGCTATCCGGGTCAGTCCTCTAAGAAAAAAATACTTTTCTGGAAAAAATGTCAAATAAATCTGTGAGTTTTTACTAAACTAGAGCTATTCCCTTTTTATACCCTCCACCATAGTATGGAGGGTATAATAAGTTTGTCATTCCGTTTGTAGCACCTCAAAATATACATTTTAGACCATACATATATATTCTTGATCTGCATAACATTCAATGTCGAATTAGGGATGTCCATGTATACGTCGGTGGAAACCACTCTAGCTTCCGAACGAAATTAAGTAGGTTGATAAAATTTAACTCAAATGTATATTATGTCTGCAGGACTTTTGGTATTAAAAATGGGTCATGTAGATCCACGTTTTGGTATAGCCCCCATATAATAGTACCTCCCAAATTTCGATTTAAACGACATTATTCACCGGAAATATTTCAAATTTGGTATTTGAAGTTCATAATGGATACTGCAGCCTTTGACAGAAAATTGTCTGTGCAGGTCTTCGTCCCCCCATATAACGGTACCTCCCGATATTCGGTATTTTGATTATTTTAGCGACATTATTCACCGAAATAGTTTCAAATTTGGTATTTGAAGTTCGTAATGGATTCTACAGCCTATGACACATTTTTTTTTTTCGTTCCAAACGGTGGAGGGTATCGGCCCGGCCGAACTTACAGCTTTCTTGCCTGTTTGCCATCAACTTTACAGGTCACAGTTATTATCCGACCCTCACGAAAATTTGCATGGAGTTAGGCTTAGAATCAAAATGAAAGCCAACTATGGAGATGTTCGCAAAATATTTAAAATATGATTTTATCCAAAAACAAAAATTTTTCCGACCAAAAATCAAAATTTTGTCAAAATTTTTAAAGCTGAAAGTCACATCTAGACGAAATTATACCAAAACAAGTATAAGAGTATCAGTCGGTTTTGCCGATAGATGTATATCTCCAGCCTTAAGTTATGACTATTCAAAATGTTGACCCTTTCGAAACAGTTGGGCAACATTCGAATCTGACCTAAGACTGATATAAATATTGCAACGTGACAGATTTAGACTATATCGACTACTTTCTTTACAAATTTTTCCTATGTGCACATTTTTGGAAAATGTGAAAATATGGGTGAGATAACAGATATAGCGGACCAAAGTATTCCAATTTCATACTTCATCTAATACAGATATATTAGACTGTGCAAAATTTGAAGGAAATCGAACATTTATATCCAATTTTATGCTAAATCATAAATTTCGATAAATTACATATTCATATCCGAAGTCTGGTTAAGAGAAATATTTAGATATATCAATTTGTAAAGAGTCGCTGACTTATTTCGCAAGTTCTGACAAACAAAAGAATTGAAAATTGTGACACTTTGTGGGTGAGGTAACAGAAGTGGTTCCCAGATATATATATATATATATATATATATATATATATATATATATATATATATATATATATATATATATATATATATATATATATATATATATATATATATATATATTGATAACACAAGAGATTTTGTGTTAGCAACAGTGTTTGTATTTGTGAAATTTGAAGATAGTTGAATGCTTATTTTGCTTTCTTTGAACGTTTTGTTTTTCAAAATCTTGAAGCCTATGTGGGGGAGGTATCAGAAGGATTGGTCCGATCTCTACAACCTTTATAGCAGATCTTGTGTTGATAAAAATATTGAGATGTACCAAGTCAAATGGAATCGGGTGATAATTTCATGTTTTATGAGTTTCATGAATATTCAAAATTGTGATCCTTTGTGGGGTAGGTACCAGAAGAAATGGAAAGATATATCCCATCTTCACAGCAGATCTTGTATTAGCAGAAGTATTGTGATGTTTGAAGAGAATCAGATGTTTATGTCGGATTTTATAATCGTTTTTGTTATTCAAAATTTTGACCGTTTGTGGGGAAGATTCCTTCTTGTACCTTCCAAACTACCTTCCAAAATATTCCATCTTCACACCAGACCTTGGGTCAATAAAAATATTGTGATGTGTGTAATTTGAAGATAATCGAACTCTTATATTACATTTTATAAAAGTTATAATTATTCAAAATTTTACCCATTTGTGGGGAGGTACTTGATGAAGTGGACCGATATTTTCCATTTCCGCACCTAGCACTGATGCAAATATCACGATTTGCAATGTTTGAACAAAATGAGATTATCCGTTCTCTTCCTATGACGTAAATTTTTATACCCTCCACCATACTATGGAGGGTATATTCATTTTGTCATTCCGTTTGTAACTCCTCGAAATACTCATGTCAGACCCAACAAAGTATATATATTCTTGATCAGCGTAAAATTCTAAGACGATTTAGCCATGTCCGTCCGTCTGTCTGTCTGTCCGTCTGTTGTAATCACGCTATCTTTCGAACGAATTGAGATAGAAGGCTAAAATTTTGCACACATGTATATTTTGCCAGTAGGCAGGTTAAGTTCGAAAATGGGCCATGTAGGTCCAAGTTATCATATAGCCCCCATATAATGGTACCTCCCGATATTCGGTATTTTGATGATTTTAGCGACATTATTCATCGGAATTGTTTCAAATTTGGCATTTGAAGTTCGTAATGGATACTACATCGTAAGTCAAAAAATGAGCCATGTAGATCCACGTCTTAATATAGTCCCCATATAACGGTACCCCCCGATATTCGGGATTTTAATGATTTTAGCGACATTGTTTACCGGAATCGTTTCAAATTTGGTATTCGAAGTTTGTAATGGATACTAAATCCTAAGTCAAAAAATGAGCCATGTAGGTCCACGTCTTCGTATAGCCCCCATATAAGGGTACCCCCCGATTTTCGGTATTTTGATGATTTAAGCGACATTATTTAGCGAAATCGTTCCAAATTTGGTATTTGAAGTTCGTAATGGATACTACGGCTTAAGACAGAAAATTTTCTGTGCAGGTTCACATCTTCATATAGCCCCATATACCCCCCGATATTCGGTATTTTGATGATTTTAGGGACATTATTTATTGTTTCAAATTTCGCATGTGAAGTTCGTAATGGATACTTCAGCCCATGCCAGAAAATTGTCTGTGCAGGTCCACGTTTTCGAATAGCCCCCATATAACGGTACCCCCCCCCCCCCCCCCATATTCGGTATTTTAATGATTTTAACTACATTATAAACAGATTTTTCTTCAAGTTTCACATTTAAATTATTGTAACAACTTATGACAAAATATGCCTATGCAGGCCCACGTCATCGTATAAGCACTCGGTATTCTTAAGATTTTAAAAGAATTTTTAACGGATTTTATTTTTTGGAAATTGCCAAATTTGTACCAAATGGTGGAGGGTATTAAAAGTTCGGCCCGGTCGAACTTACAGCTTTTTTACTTGTTTTCTATGAAAATGTTGACCTTCTGTGGGGGAGGTAAAAGAAGGAGTGGACCGATATCACGATGTAGCAAATTTCTACAAAATCCTATACGCTCTTCAGCACCAGCCAGGAAGACAGACGGACGGATCGACTCCAAAGAGACCTAGGGTCTAAAACCGTTTGTACTTATCAAATGATACATACCCACTTTAGCTGACGGTATTTTTATGCTGGAGGATTGTCGCCGAATTTATTTTATCTAGTCTTTTGAAAGTCCCTCTCGTTTACATTTAAAAATATCTTCGTGTAAATGTTATCAAAACGAAAACGTAAACCTGGATAGATAATTGCCTATTTCGAATTGAAAATACCAACTTTGAGAAAGATTACCAGTTTTTAACTAGGATGTTTTCTGTCGCGGGAACTCAAACTGCCGGTTTAAGAATATGACTAAAATCCCAAAAATACCTTAAATCTGGTCTTACCGTTATAAGGGGGCTATAAAATATCGTGGACCAAAAAATTCTTCGGACCTAATATATATTTCAATAAAATTTCATACACCTATTTTTAGAGAGCTGGAGTGATTTTCACAGACAGGCAGATAAATAGTAGGACGAACATGCCTAAATCAATATTAGATTTTATCCTGTAACATTATACTTTCTTGGGTCTAAAATGCCTATTTCGAGGAGTTACAAACAGAGGAGTTACATATTTAGTTTTGGAGGACATACAAAAGTAGACAATAAGTGGGGGTAAACGATCTGGATACCCAATAAAAATAATCGATAGCTACCTAGAAAATCAAGTTCTGGCGACACTGACTTGAAAGTTATTTTACTTACAAATAGTTATTTAAAGATTGAGATGATTTAAAAAAAAATTGAAATGGTCTTCTGTCTACAGAATTTCTTTGTGCCATTTGTTAGGAAAACATAGATAACATAACATTTAAAAGGTCTTCTCTTTATGGTATATTTGAAAGGTTTTCTCTATCAAAGACATTTACAGACTACCTTCCAGTAGAGAATACC